CCTGGTTTCCATGCCTCAATCACACACGTCGCACAGCTAAGCAGCAGCTGTGCAGATTCTAACCACATCTGCCTATTGCTCTGGAACCCAAGCGACTCTGTAAGAGTGAGGGGAGTTGGGAGAATGGGGCAGGCAAGTGGGATGGGTTATTTATTGAGAAGAGGCCAAAAAAAATCTATTAGCTGATATTAGCATACATGTTAATCACAGGAGCACTTCTATCAATTAGGCAGTGCTGCATATAGATTTTCCTACAGGATTCAGTTGTGTCAGCAAGTCTGTTGGGTAATGCTTCTGAAGACAGGTTCTAGCATAAGTTTGCACTTTTTATAAGGCAGAGAACATGGAAAACATGACTCTGCAAGGGCAAGTGGGATGGGTTATTTATTGAGAAGAGGCCAAAAAAAATCTATTAGCTGATATTAGCATACATGTTAATCACAGGAGCACTTCTATCAATTAGGCAGTGCTGCATATAGATTTTCCTACAGGATTCAGTTGTATCAGCAAGTCTATTGGGTAATGCTTTTGAAGACAGGTTCTAGCATAAGTTTGCACCTTTTATAAGGCAGAGAACATGGAAAACATGACTGCAATGAAATCAGTTATGAAATATTAAACCTCTGCTTCTCAGGAGTGGCACTAATCACAGTAGGAAGACGGCTGATCCCATTATAAAACTCCCCTTAAGTCAATGATGCCTGCCTTTACAGCCCAGGCAACCTGTCAACAACCTGAAAGGAGGCACCTGATTTGCAAGACACACAAACAGCGCCTCACTGTGTGAAACCAAATGTGATGAAAATGAATCCAGTTTCCCTCTATGCCCCTCATCTCAGTTGGCTTCCCTGTGACATCCCCTTATGTAAGCACCATAAGGGCTAGGAATTGTGCCTGGTTTGCTCACTCTTGTATCTCCAGTGGTTACTCTTATAACCTCCATTGCTTTTTTCAGATCCTGTCTGATTTGACCCTAGCCTCTTCACACTTTATATCCTGTATCTTAGTCAAACTGGATGGCTTGACTTCCTCCACTTTCTAGTCTTTAAATGCCTTTATCATTTATTCCGTCAACCTGCCCTGGATTCTGATTCTGCTCAGCTGAAATGTTATGTTCATCTTTTCAAGCCCAGCTGTGTTCGTTCAGACTTCAAATCTTCCACACACTCTTTTGATGTTACTGCAGACAACACCCCTTTCATGGCATTTTACGTCTTGTGCCAACATTACTGGTGTCTAGAGCATATTCCTCTCTTATTATTTAGAATACTTTTATTAATTTCAGAGAGGAAGGGAGAGGGAGAAAGAGATAGAAACATCAATGATGAGAGGGACTCATTGATTGGCTGCCTCCTGCAAGCCCCCTACTGGAGATCGAGCCCACAAGCTGGGCATGTGCCCTTGACGGGAAATGAACCCGGGACCCTTCAGTCCCCAGGCTGACGCTCTATCCACTGAGCCAAACCAGCTAGGGCCCAATGGAGAGTTTTAATCCCAACTATGGAGCTTATGAAACGTGAACATGACTGAGGACTCCCCCTGACACAGCACTGCAGGGATGTGCGCCCAGGCCTCTACAAATAGAAAAGGCTTCACATCTATTTGGATGTTACTGGGCTGAGAAAAAGAAGTGCTGGTCTAGTAAGTGGTGGGCCCACTCACTCAATGGGGAAGGCGGGCGGGGGGGGAGTTCTCTCATTTTTAGAGCTTTACTTAAATTTTTTGATTTGAATCACTACAGAAAGGCAACCAAGTAGAGGTTATTCAAGTTGAGTCAACTTTCATATGTAGGTCACACTTGTTACTTAACCTATTTTGTACTTTTTTAAGATATGAAGTTATTCTTTCATATATATACTAGAGGGCTGATGTACGAAATTTGTGCAAGAGTAGGCCTTCCTTCCCCCAACTGCTGGCACTGGCTTTCCTCTGGCATCTAGGACTGGGCTTCCCTCCCGTTGCCGGCAGGCTTTAGCATATTATGCTTTCATTATTATAGATATAATAATTGATTTCAGAGAGGAAGGCAGGAGAAAAAGGAACATCAATACCAGCTTCATCCAGAAGGTCGTCTGGAAGGACGTTTGGAGGACGTCTGCTCTAATTAGCATATTACGCTTCTGCCTCCTGCACAGCCCACACTGGGGATTGAGCCCACAACCAGGGCATGTGCCTTGACTGGGAATCGAAACGGGATCTCCTGGTTCACTGGTTGACAATCAACCACTGCGCCACACCAGCCGGGCAAGATATGAAGTTATTCTGAAGGAGAAAATTCTGGAAGGAGTTAATTGCTTCTCAAACCCAGTACATTCTCAAAAAGGTCTCTGATTCCAAAATAAACAGAAGCTACAGCCACATATAAAGTCATCACATCCAGTTAGCAAAGGATTAAAGATCTTTTTCAGGGTTTCTATTTGGCAGAAATCACAAGATTGGTTTTACAGGATGTCTTCTGAGGAAGGGAAAGTCTCATTTAAAAAAAAAATTACCGTTCTTTCCAATGATGTAAAAAAAATTCCTTTTGAGATAATTTGCAACTAAACAAGCAACTTGAAATGAAAAGAAAAATGCAAACTCATTTTAAAAAACACCTCATACGCATTTTTCTGTTAACTTCGTGTTTCAAAAAATATGTATTATTTTTCGAAAAGCTGACAAAAGCTAGCATATACCCTCCTCAGCTTAACAGCCTTCCAAAGAGCACATCTAACTGCCATAAAACGCAAAAATGGATATTTAATTCAAGAGCTATATAACGTCTAGCTACCTTTTCCCTGCTGTTTCACAGCATTTCATTATTTTGTTTAATAAGTTCATCTCCTCAAGAATTTTCTCTTCACCTCATATTATTAAAAGTAATAAGTTTTTCTGGACCGGGGGTTTCCCAACAGAAAAACCAATTTATGTGTGTCCTTCAATAATGACAGGAAAAGATTATTTCCCATTATATTGCATACTTTTCATATCACCACCACAGCTTATCATTCAATAAATGTTACTCTGCAATTCTTTCCATTCCTCAAGGAAGTTTAATTTCTGCATTAACCTGTTTTCTCTGGCCAACACCTTACCAGAAAGCCTCTGTGTTGCAGCAGAATTAGTTCGTTAAAGAACCCATTTAGGAATTTCTTGTCAGTGATAAAATTGTCTCCGGTTAAGAAAAGGCCATAAAGTAAGTTTGCATCTCGATCACACATACTTACTTCCACACTCACACGCACTCTCTGTTCCCTGCACATGTTTCACCGGGCATGTGTTCTTTTGTAATGAAAATTAAACATTTATCTTAATAAGGGTAACTCATTCACACCTTCTGCATACGAAGACAGTTATCAGGGCTGTAACAGGTATTATAAATAGCATTAGCTTTACTCTGAAGGAAGATGTGCTGGCAATAACATACCTTTTTTCCAGTTTTCCAGAAGAAATCTCTAATGGCCCGTAGCATTACTATAGCTACCGGGAAGGTAGCATTTACTGTTTCTTTTCCAGTAGAAGTCTTAATAAAATCTGATCCTAAAACACAAGGCAGAAACACTACATGTCAATTTAAACACTTATTTTTTACACTTTTGAGTCAGTGGAAGAAATGAGTTGTGTAATTTTTTGTTTCCTGAAGAACACAACTTTTTCAAGAATTAGTTGAAAAACTAAAAAATATATATCTCTTTAAAATAATTATTTCCATGCTTTACTATAAAATGAATTAAATTAAGCACCAAATGAATTCTCATGAATCCCCGGGGCTCTTGCCTCTATATTTCCATATCACCAATTAAAATCAAGTTGGTTTATTTAATGCATAACTGAGATGAATAAAACAATTTTATTCCCTGTACTTAATATCATATAACACTTTACTACAAAAATGGATTGCCAACTCATTTTTCCCTCATTTCCTTATGCCTGATAAAAAGCACACAGAACAGCTGTGACAACACAAGATGAATCACCAATAGCTGATTTCCACTGCATTGTTTATTAATAAATGCACTGTCTTCCAACCAGATTAGGATTTTTATGAAAATCCTATGTTAGTTCATAACTTGCAAATATTTTAAATGACTTCTTGTCTCTGAAATATATCTTCTACCAATTGATGCAGTTTAACAGAATAACATTAAGGAGACAAAGAAGCAATAATAACAGTTAAGATTCACCAAGGGCGATGTACCATGCACTATTCTAGGTGCTCTGAAAGTATTAACTCAGTTAATCCTCATGACAGCTGTAAAAGTTAGGTACTAAAATAACCCACTTTTTTTTAGAGAGAGAGGAAGGGAGAGGGGGAAAGTGAGAGAGAGGGAAAAAGGGAGGGGAGAAAGAGAGAGAGAGGAACACTGATCAGTTGTCTCAGTTGCCTCTCATACACTCCCTGACTGGGGATCGAACCAGCAGCCTTTTGGTGCTTGGGACAACCAACTGAGCGACTCTGGCCAGAGCAAATGATCACCATTTTAAAAGAGGAAATTGAAGTACAAAATGTTAGGTAACTTGTTTGAGGTTGCATAGTAATCAGAGGAGGTAGAATTTTAACCAAAGCAATAGAGCTTACCCAATATTCTACAGTGTCTCCAAGAAACTTATTTAGTTCACACAGACATATAGCCAAATACAGATTCTGTCTTTCATGTGGTTACCTATTCCTGAAATACTCAAAGTGTGGAGAACAGACCAGCCGCATGGGTACCATCAGGGAACTTGTCAAAAGTGCAGACTTCTCAGGCCCTACACTAGACCAACTGAATCTAAATCTGAATATCAGCGAGGCCCCTAAATAATTCCTTTGCAAATTTACAGCCCTAGCCCATTGAATCCATAGGTAAGGCAAATCTCTGAGAATCTCTCAGGGTCTATCGAAAAAATGATCGATGGAAGTGGAAGGGAAAAAGTGGCCAAAACTTTCCCCTCTAGTTTCCATTAGAAGAGATACATCCACAACGATTTTGTGTCTGGAAAGGTTCAAAAAGATATGCCTTTAGTAGGTGCACTGTGTGTAAAGTGCTGTGAAAAATATAAAAAACAATATCCACACCCTTGCCCTCAAAGCCACATACATTCTACATGCAAATGGAGGTGAACCCTAGTCCTGCGTAATCACGTGATGAGCTAGAAGTCAGCAGATCTGGTTTCCAGCTCTAGCTCTGAAATTTACCTTCAAATTCCATCTCCTAATCTCTCTCATTTTTAAAATATATTTTTATTGATTTCATAGAGGAAGGGAGAGGGAGAGAGAAATAGAAACATCAAAGATGTGAGAGAAACTTTGATCTGCTGCCTCCTGCACGCCCCCCACCAAAGATCGAGCCTGCAACCTGGGCATGTGCCCTAACCAGGAATCTAACTGTGACCTCTTGGTTCATGAGTCGATGCTCAACGCTGAGCCACATCAGCTGGGGCCGAATCTCTCTCATTTGTAAAATAGAGCTGGAAATTCTTACTGGCTTCATATTTGAGGAATCAAAAGAGACAATCTATGTGAAAGCACTCTGGAAACTGTTAAGCATTATACACATGCGAACGGAGGGAAGACCTGGGTAGGGTTGCAGTCTAGAAATACCATAGGAATTCTGACATATTGGAACAGTTCACTGGAAGCCTTCTTTGCTTTGGGTCTGTAGGTAGGCCCATGTGGGAAAATGGAGACATAACTGTCATGCATGCATTCATTCAACAAATATTGACTAAATGCTTACTATGCTCTAGGCCAGTGGTCGGCAAACTCATTAGTCAACAGAGCCAAATAGCAACAGTACAATGACTGAAATTTCTTTTGAGAGCCAAATTTTTTAAAACTTAAACTATATAGGTAGGTGCATTGTTATTAACTTAATTAGGGTACTCCTAAGGCTTAGGAAGAGCCACACTCAAGGGGCCAAAGAGCCGCATGTGGCCGCAGTTTGCCGACCATGGCTCAAGACTCTTTAGATGCTGGGAATAGACCACTAAAGAAAACAGACCACATTCCTGCCCTTGTGATAATTTCTGGAAGAGGAAGACAATAAGCTTAAATATATAACAAAAGCCAGGTGGAGATAAGTGCCGTGAAACAAATAAGCAATGTAACAGGAGAGAGTGGCGGATTTGAGGAGAGATAGCCATGTTTAAATAGAGTCCTCATAAAGCATCTCAGATGAGTGAAATGCAGAGAGTGAAGAAGGGGACTCTGTGAAAAGAGCCTCGCAAGAAGGAAACCAGAATCTGTCACCCTCTTCACATTGCTTCTCTCCCCTGTGTGAGCTGAAGCTTCCCCTGCCTCTCCAACAAGAACATTTGTGATGGTACTGAGGGACCACCTGGATAAGCCAGAACAATCACTTCATCTCAATGTCCTTAATTTAACCACATCAGCAAAATCTTTTTTCCACCAAATAAGCTAATATTCACAGGCTCTGGGGATTAGGATGTGGACATATGTTTGGGAGCCATTATCAGCTTACCACATTTCCCAATCTGTATACCTTTTATTCCATTTTCTTGTCTTACTGCCTCAGGTCGGACTTCCAGGACAATGCTGAACAGGAGCTGTGTGAGAGAACAGCCTTCCTTGTCCTTCAGGGGAACTTAGGGGGCAAGCATCTAGTTTCCCATCGTTAAGTACGTTAGAGGAAGTTTGTTTCCAGATGTTCTTTATCAAGCTGAGGATGTTCCCCTCTATTCCAAGTTTGCTGAGAATTTTTATTATGAATAGGTGTTGAAATTCATCCAATGCCTAATCTGTATCAACTATATGATCCTATGACTTTTCTTTCTTACATTACTGATACAGTGGACTACATTACATCAAGCCAGTCTTGAATCTCTATAAAGTAAATCCCGTTTGGTTGTGGTGTATAATTATTTTTATACACTGTTGGCCTCATTTTACTAATACGTTGTTGAAGATGTTTGCATCTATGTTCATGAGTGATATTGATTTATAGTTTTCCTTTCTTGTAATGCCTTTATCTGGATTTGGTATTAAGGTAATGATGGTCTCACAGTCTCTCTCTATTATTTTCTGGACGAGACTGTAGAGAATTGGTATTTCTTCCTTAAATGTTTGGTAGAATTCACCAGTGAAATCATCTAGAGCTGAATTTCATTTTTGTAAGGTTATATTATTTTTATTTAATAATTTTGAGTTATTAAATAATTATTTTAAAACATTCTATAATTTAAATATTTTATAAAATAGATTAAAAGTAAAATAATTTCTTTAATAGTTATAGACTTATTCAGACCTTTTCTTTTTGTGTGAGTGTTGGTTGTTTATATCTTTGATCTATTTAATCTAAGTTATTCAATTGTGGACACACAGTATTCCTTTATTATTGTTTTAATGTTCGTAGAAAGAGTAATGATCCTCCTTTCATTTGTAATATTAATTTATGTCTTTTATCTTTGGAGTTTATCAGTTTTATTGATTTGTTCTTAAAAAAACAGCTTTTAGGGTTTTTTTATTTTTCTGTGTTTTTTTGTTTGTTTTGTTTTCAATTTCATTGATTTCTTCTCTGATTTTTATTTCTTTTGTTCTGCTTGCCTTAGGCTTGCATTGTTGTTTTTTCTCTATTTTCCTAAGATAGAAGGCTGAAGTTATTGATTTTAGACCATTCCTTTTTTTAAAATATATATACCTAATGTTATAAATTTCTCTCCAGGCAATGTTTTTGCATTGTAGAGTCTGCTTTTTTGACAATCTTCTTTTCATTTCTAGATTTAGACCATTATCATTCAAAGCTATTATTGATTTAGTTGAATTAATATCTACAGTTTATAAATTTTCTATTTATTTTGTTTTATCTTTATTAAATGTTATACCTCTTTTTCTGCCTGCTCTCTGGCTTTAATTGAACATTTTATATAATCCCATTTTATGTCCCTGCAGCATATCAGTTAAATTTCTTTTGTACTTTTTTTATTGGTTGTCCTAGAGTTTCCAATATACATTTTAACAATCTAAGTCTACCTTCAAATAAGACTGTACCACCATACAAGTATTTCAGGTACCTTTTAACAAAATATTCCTAATTCCTCCCTTCTGTTCCTTAGAATATTTCACTCTTCTATTTGGTATACTTACCCAATACATTGTTACTGTCATTACTTTAAATAGTTTTCTTTTAGATCACTTGAAAGAGAAAAATTATGTTTACTCTTTATTTAGTCTTTCTCTGACATTCTTCCTGTTTTAATATAGAGTTTCTGATTTACATCATTGTCCTACTCCTAACATTTCTTTTAACATTTCTTACAGGGCAGATCTGCTGACAACAAATTCCCTCAGTTTTTGTATGGCTAAGCTCCTTCACTTTTAAAGGATAATCTCACCGGACATAGATTTATAGGTTGGTGAGGGTTTTCCCCCCTCCCAATACTTTAAGTATTTCACTCTATTCACTTCTTGCTGATATGGTTTCTAATAAGAAGACCACTGTAATTATTTCCATTTTTGTCTATCAGTATTTTCTTTCTGTTTTTAATTCAAGATTTTCTATTTGCCCTTGGTTTCCTTCCATTTGAATATGATATATCTA